ACTGGGTGGCTGCAGGTCTCTTCCCAGGAGAGGCCTGTGAGAGGACCCGGATGTCTGGGAGCCCTGCATTCTCCCGTGATGTTGCTGCCTGGATCTGGGTTAATGTCTTTGCTATTGTGAACAGTGCCGGAGTGAGAATTTTCTAAACACAGCTGTGTGCATTTTCCTCTTCTTGCGATTTAGAAATTTAACTACTATTTTCAAGGTACTGTAATGTATTTGTTCTGTTCTTGTTAGGAGACTTGCCAACCCTGTGTCTCAGTTCATACCCTCTTCCTTCCCCAGTGGAAGTAACCACGACTTTGATTATGTGATTATTATGTTCTTGGTTTTCTCTATGGTTTTCTAACTGGAAAATGTATCCCTTAAGAAGATAGTTCATTTAGCTGGGCGTACATTTTATTTAGAAGAAATCACATTGAAAGTATTTTTTGGACTTTCTGTTGTTACTCCAATTACTCAGCATCGTCGTGAACTCAACTGCAGAGTCGCTCATAACCCTGTACTGTTGTCCTCGTGGCTGTCTGGGTTCGCATTGCATGAACCTGCCATTGTTTATTTGCCTATTCTCCTTCAGGTGGACGTTTGCTTTGTTCTCAGTTTGGGGCTATGACAATCAGATGTTCTGCACATCTTTGCCCATGAGGCTCTCAGGGAGGGCTCTGGGGCTGGCATTGCCTGCAGGGTTCTGCTTTGTCACAGGGAGTTCCTGCCAGTGAGGCTGAGGTGGATGTGTGAGGTTTCTGCAGTTTTCTCTGGGTGCTGACCCTGCCTGGTGTCCCTGCCCCTCCTCCCAGCCCCTGCTCTGTGCCTGCCAGATGGCGGCTGCTGCCCAGGTGGTGCTGGCTGTGGAGGAGCTGGGCTCTGCCTCCCTGCTCTCTCTCGAGAGGGACGAGATGGGCGTCCCTCTCGGGCTCTGGCCGGGAGTGTGGCTGAGTTGCTTCTCTCTGGAATTCGCTGACTATGCCGTCCTCAGGGGTATATGTCCTCGGGGCTCTGTGCTTGCTCCACGTCAGGCCACAGGAGCTGCCAGCAGGTACCGGCCTGCCCTGCCATGCAGTGAACCTGCAGCCTGTCCGGGGATGCCCGGGGAGGTGAGTGCTACCACACATCAGACCTTTTCTCTTTAAAGTCTTTTCTTTGGGGGAAACATCATCGATGTCTCATATACTAAATATACGTCTGTATCATTGTACAATTGCCTGCGTCATCGTTTATTTCTCCAACCTGGGTTAATGTCTTTGCTATTGTGAACAGTGCTGGAGTGAGAATTTTCTAAACACAGCTGTGTGCATTTTCCTCTTCTTGCGATTTAGAAGTTTAACTGCTGTTTTCAAGGTACTGTAATGCCTCACTCCAAACCCACCGCCAGGCCCGAGGAAACCCGGGATGTTCAGGGCTGACCTGAGGAGGCAGCGGAGCCCTGAGGGGAGGCTGTGGGCTCAGCGTTCTCAGGTCTGCCGCGGGGACACCCAGGTCTGCCCCTCGCTGTGGTGGACAGTGTCCGTGCCCACCTGTGTCCTGAGGCTCCATTTCAGGCTGGCATCTGTTCCTACTGTCCCTACCCACCCCATGGCCTCGTCCTTTCGGGTTCATAAATTGCCCACAAATCACGCAGGCATCATTCTGGGGTGTCCCCATGGGCCATCTTGTGCTCTGGGGCTGTCCCGATCCAGATGTGGGTTCCGTCTCTGATGCCACTGAGGACTGTCCTAGAAGAGGGTGACCACTGGGGAGAGAGAGAGGGATTTCTGGAAGGTTCTTTGTCTCTGACTGTGGGAGGTGAGTCCTCTGTTGGCCTCCCCGGTGAGGTCTGGAAACGAGCAGGACTCAGGACGGCCGGGCAGGATGAGTGACGCCCAGCTCCGGCTGTCCCCGGGGGGTGTCCTCCCAGCCTGCAGCCTGCCTGGGATCTGCTCTGGCCCTGGAACTGGGGACAGGAGCCATCCTGGAGGTCAGCAGCCTCCTCAGACAGCAGGAGGAGACCAGGACAAGCCCAGCAGGGGAGGCAGTGGAGA